GGGATTCATACAAATGGCAACTTCATGGGAGTCAATTTTGCTAGAAGATCATCAGTGACCCTTCATCTTTCCTTGGAAATGTACAAATTTACTGGCTTCTAGTCTGTGTGTAGCATCTGATTTTTTATTATTTTGAGTACATGCAAATCATCAAGTGCATGTATAAATTAATCTTTAGGTATTGCTTCCTCTCTGGGAACCTGTAGGAGAGCTCTTTCAGGAAAAGAAGTAGATAACGGATCTTAGTCACTTTCAGCATACCCCTCATAAATATCTATTCTGATTCAACTAGAGGATTATTTTGACATAGGATTCCTAATTTAGCTGGTCTGAAAAATTAACTGTTTTCAAACATTTCTAAGTTAAACTATAATCACCTCCGAATATTTGGATCTAAAATTGTGGTTATAGCTATCTAATGTGAAGAAAAATGAGTTTCTGCCTTCTGTATGGATCTGCTAAGGCTTTGTCCTATTTTCCAAAAGCAAGCTCATTCTTTAAATATCATATCGCCAAAACAGTCATCCTTACAATTGAGCAATGCCAGCTCAAGGCAGAAAAAAATCTTTAGGGGAAAAAGAAACACATGTGAGAACACATAGTCAAATGAGAACTGAATCTGTTCACTGAATAAGAAAAACTGTCAGAATGTGATGAGGAAGCAAAGCAGGTGGGCAAGGATGAATGGAACAGAGTACCCAGGAAAAGAAAAGAACTGAGTGAATACATGCCCTTGTGGGAGCACTCTGCTGTGCAGTGTTCTGTGAATCCATCTTCTTATTGCAGATTGTTGATCTTTTCCTGTTCCAGATCAATTCCCAGATTTAAAAAAAAATGAGGAACTAGAGCTTGATCCAACAGGAGATATACTGATGTTCCACTTCATAAAGGCTTCTAGAAGATCACTAAATATGTCAGGTGTGAAGAAATCTTTAATTAGAGCAGTGATCTGAAACAAATTGCAGATTGTTGTTTAGTTATGCAGAGACTTCATCAAAATGGAGGGCGATTATCTGAGTTGCCTAGAGTGATTGAGAGTTGGCCAGCATACAACTTTAATAAATTATGGTAGATAGCAGTCAGCCAGATGTTTAGACTGGATTTGGCATTTTTATCCATCTATCGAGTCCT